CTTTTGAAACTAAGGCCTCAAGGATGTTGAGAAATATAGCATAATATTATCATCAAGCATCTCACCGACTGTATATTTAGGAATTGGGGAAGAGGATACCTCTAAGCAAATGTGTTTGGATGCAATCATGGATCTGAGATGGAAATTTCCATGTCTGAAAATTTCTATCTATCCTAGATGTTAACTCTGCTTCGCTGCTGGAGAAAGTCATTATCAGTTCTAGATACTCCCCTTTAGCAAATTTTAGAGTGTCTTGTGTTGCTGCAAAAGTAAAAGATGCCTGCTGCAGAATATCTATAATACTATAACAAAGGGTAGCATCCACATCTTTCTTTTGATGTCTGAATGGCTTCTTGTTGCCATAATAAGGACCAGGTCAGAGACAATATCTACATAAATAACTTAAGAACTTGCAATTCTAAAAAAAAATCCACAGATTCTAGTATTTAGTGCTTTATATCTAGGACTGGAACATTTGCAGATTTATCTTGTTACTCATCTTGTGGGTTATTCATGTACAAAGGATTTACATGGCCAGATGTTAGACTGAAGTTCCTGCAGTACAGCAGGATAAAACATGTGCTTCTTGGAACTAAAGGTGAACAGGTCCTTTTTTTCTCTTATTCCTCATGCTTCTTAAGGAGGAGGTAGTAAAAGGTGTCAGAGAGGGAACGATGATCGCATTAATCATTTCTTAGTAACCGTTTACGAAGTTTTCTTTCATCTGTTCCAGAGTTAATTAGAAAATTCCTCAGAATCTGATCTTCTTCAGATTTAATCTTGTACTAAACCATTTAGGTATCTAAGATGACTGCCTCAGAGTGTGGAGGGTCTCTTCATCTTCAGCATAACACCAGATGTTCAATTGTACTGGTGATGGCCAGGAAGCCACCCACATGGTGATCTTCTATTGTACCGCCAAGTGAAAATATTTTCCTTGTTTATCCTATCAACGTTTACTGGATCCACACACTTCTCTAGAGACAGTTTCTGGTTCCTGATGTCTTTCTAGTCTAAGAAATTGACCACATCTTATTTGAAAGTTTCTTGCTATTATTTTCCATGAACAGGTGGATTTGTTATTCTAATGTTTCTGAACTGGAAACCTTCAGGGCCTTTTGTCTATTGTGATTTCAGATTTTTTTTTTTTCCTACAAGGCTGATTGTCATGTCTGCTTGCAGAGTCAGCAAGCTGGCTGCCCTCAAGGTGAACCAGCCAGATCTTATTTTTCACAAGGATAAAACTGCCTTTTAGATTATTTTTGACAGAGGTTGTGATTATATACTACTGTGGCCAGGAACTAATTCTACCTCTTTTTTTTCCCCATACCTCTTGACTGCTTTAAATTTCAGGCATACTTCATTAGAATATAGAATATAGAATAACAGGGTTGGAAGGGACCTTGGAGGTATTCCAGTCAACTCCCTGCTCAAGCAGGAGACCTTGTACTATTCCAGACAAATGGCTGTCCAATCTTTTCTTGAAAACCTCCAGTTACAATCTGTCATTCTCCATCAAAGTAGAATATCTCTGTATTAGATCAACATACTGCTAGTTAGTTTAATTTCACCATAGGTTTGGCTTATGACATTTTAAGGCTTCCATAACTTAACACTTCACATGCATTGTTGGACCATCTGCCATTTACCTCAGAGATGCTACTGCTACTGCTCCATGATCCCAGCCTTCAACCTTCAGCCTCCACAAAGCACTGTAAGTTGGTATTTAGGTTGGCGTATAAACTGGTTTCCACAGGCCAGTTCATTCTTCACTTATTCTGATACTACCTGCCCTTGCATTTGTAAATAATTCACCCACTTATGAGATGCACAGAGATCAGAAATGAAAAGGAACATACTATCTACCTGTAATAATGCTTCTTCAAAGAGTCATTATGCTACACCCTACTTTCTATCCCAATGCAGGGAATCAAAACTTGGCATTTTGTAATCTGTTTTATTTCTAGCTGTATTAGTTCAAGAAACTGTGGAGGAAATGCCTATGTTCAGTGGAAAAATGTCTGAATAATTTTTTACAGCAACACCACAGTTGCAGGTCAGCATCCTGTTCCTTACATTGTTTGAAGTCTTCTTGGTGGATCAAGTAGCATTCTTGGATAGGCAATCCAAGTTGCTATATAGGCCAGGATGGCTCTCCATCTATAAACAACTTGTAGACATTTAAACAATGTTTTCTACCAACTTCACATTTGAAAGGAGTAAGTTTAGGTCCTAGGAATAGTTGGAATTATTTGCTGAGCAGGGCAGATTTCAGGAAAAAAAAAAGATATGAGCTTCCCATACCAGAAAACCTATTACAGGGGTGGGCAACTATGGTTCCTTTACGTCTCAGAATTCCTGAGTCAGCCGTGTAATTCTGGGAGTTGAAGTCCACAGGCGGTAAAGGAACCATAGTTGCTTGTCCCTGACATATTACATAGTTGTGTTCCCCTTTTTATTCTTCAAATTTATGGACCTTCAACTCCTCAAATGCTTCAATTCCATAGTAATAGCCATGCTGGCTAAGGAACTGAGAGTTAAAGTCCAAACATCTGGAGAATGTCCAGACTGGAAAAAGCTGCTGGAGAAACAGCCACCACTTTAAGAGTCACCCAGCTTCAGCAAAACCATCCTAAATAAATTTCTTCTTGGCAGACAAACTGAATTGTTAAGACTACCCCTTCTAAAAATATATGCACAGTTATCAAGGAACTCTTGATAACTGTTCTACTTTTTATTGACAGAGTGATGGTTATCAAAAGTCACTTGCCTCTCCTCTCTTGCCAGATTACCAGCAGCTTTGTTTAAAACTGATTATTCAAATATATTTTGCGGTAGCTGTTACTTTTTCTCTTTCTCCCTCTTCCCTAGTTTTTTAAAAGAGGAACTAGGAAGATAATAACTGCTTGGCTGATGAACTGAAGGGTAGAGGTCAAATTCCTATCAAAATCGTCTTCCTGTGAGAATGAGATGACCAAACAATCTCAGGGTCAACAACACTACATAAAAATAAATACAAGACTATTTGAGGTTTCAGATACTGTGTTTTGTTGGCTGGAGCCTTAAAGCTGCTAGCACACTCATGGCTGGAGCTGTGTTAAACTTTGATTTATTGAACTGGCTAATTTAGGGATTCAGAGAAAGGTTAATGTTTGTGGATCGACATATAATTATCTCCAACAAAACATTAAGCATGCTCATCACTGCACAGTTGCAGTACCAAGTTCCAAACAAGCTACTATAGATTAATTACTACATTAATTACTTATTAATTCAAATCCAAGGTTTTTCAAAAGTGTAATTTTATACGATTGGAACAATCGGGGGATGCATAGTTATATGCGAGACGGCTCATAATCTTTTGTGGCTCTACTTAATAAAACATAACTGTTTATAAATACACTTTTCGTGAGACATCAGCTAAAGTGGTTTAAGCATACATCCTCATCTACAGTTAGAGATCTCTTGAAAATGGTTATAGGGTGAAATTGTGTCACTAGCAGTTGTGCAATTAATGTTTGCAGAAATTTTCTTTTGTTTGTTTCTTGTAAGGAAGACTGGTAATTGCTGCCCTTACTGTGCTCATCAAACCCAAATCCTCTGAAGCTGGGCCATCAATGCAGCCACTGAAGACATAAATTTTATGCTTTCAGTCTATGTGTTTTGCTACATCCTGACTGCTCTGAAAAGAGTCAACAGGAGGAAGATCAGAATTCAATTAGTGAACTCCTGGTGTTCTCTAAGCTTGGTTGTTTGCTCTCAGATGTTTCATGTGGGGTTTGCTTATTTGTCCTCGGCTTACGACCACAGATAAGCCCCAAATTTCCATTGCTAAGTGAGACATTTATTAAGTGAATTTTGCCTCATTTTACGACCTTTTTTGCCACAGTTGTTAAGTTATTAACATGGTTGTTAAGGGAATTTGGCTTCTCCATTGACTTTGCTTGTCAGGAGGTCGCAAAAGGCAATCACATGACCACAGGCCACTGCAACTGTCATAAATATGAGTCAGTTGCCAAGCGTCTGATCACTTAACTGTGGGGATGCTGCAATGTGTGAAAAATAGTCATAAGTCATTTTTTTCAGTGCTGTTATAACTTCGGACAGTCACTTAACAAACTATTGTAAGTTAAGAAGTATCTGTACTCACTAGCACTGATGATGTTACCTAGTTGGGTAATGAAACATCAACAAGCAAACAACCAAGCTCAGAAACCACCAAGGACTCCACAGTTCATCCCTGAGATACATATATTCTCTTTTTTCACAGTTCAATTTTTATCTATATTTTGCACCCTACAACCTGATTTTGGTCAAATATACTTAGAAATTATTTGGCTGAAATTATTTGCTAAAAGAACAGGGTTGGAGCATAATAGTTCCACTTTTATAAATATTTTCCATATTTTTTTTTTATTATTCTTAAATAAAAGGCCAAATAGATTTATTGAAACCTGAAGAATAAGTGTCTTTGGCAAGCATTTTAGCCAATTTTTACATTATGAAATTCTAGTTGCACAAAAAGCACTGCCATTAAAATGTCACACAGATAGATGACAAGCCATCTGCAATTTTATTCCACAGTGGATGAGAAAACCTTTCTGTGAACATTTTTTTAAAAAACATGATTTAGTTTAGACTTTCAGTTGTTTATGGGAGAAATTCGCTTCCTTAATTGACTAATATATTTTACCTGATTTGCATTCCTTGGGAGAGTACAATTCTGGTTGTTAAGAACTGCATCCACTAGGAATCATAAGACTCTTTAGAATTTCACTAGGAGGTCCTTATTAAAATAACCAATATTTAGGTAGCTTGACCGCTAGTCAGCTTTAGCTCAGCTGAGATGTTACAATCTGCATTTAGGAATATAGAATAACAGAGTTGGAAGTTGAATATTATAGAAAAGTAGCCTAGTCAATCAATCCTACGAATTATTTGTATTTTGATCTGTATGTAGAAGCATGTTGGTTATAGCAAATAGGATTATTAAAACTTACAGGCTCAACAAATTCAAACTTCTTTCTCTCTTGTACTTCTTGGATTTTGAAGACGTATTCTAATGATGCTTCATAAAAATTTTGATGTTCTCTGTCAATCTGGGTATCTGCCTAAAATTGAAACATAAAATGATTGTAAAATATACAGTTTATTATTAGTGTTGTTATAATTGCATCAGGAAAGTCTTCTGAAACAGAAGCGCCATATCAACTTAATATATCCTATAAAAAGGAAACACAAGATAAATTCTCATGGTTAAGATTAGGAGAAGCAAATAAATAAAAAAAATCTACAGGAATAGATAGATCAGCATGAAAATCTAAGTATTGCAAAGTATACAATCATCTGAGATTCATATTTCCATGAAAGGAAATTCAATGACCTAATCAACTCTTATTTTCAGACATGATGAATTATTTGGTCTGAGAACTATTCTTAAAAAAAATCAGAGCAAGAAATAGTTCTTAGGGGTTTTTTTTTTGAAGGGGGGAGTTGCTTCTGATGTAACTTAGTTTTATTTAGAATTTTCTCCGATCAAGAACATAAATGATTATGTTAAAGAGTAGAGTCAGTTAGATCAAACTCAAATTAATTGTTAGACAAAATATATTCCTCTTATGGAAAAGAAAAGGAAAAAGTTCTATAGAAATCTCCATGAGTTAAAAGTGACCAGAGGTTCATTGTGTAATCATGTTCTATCTATCTATCTATCTATCTATCTATCTATCTATCTATCTATCTATCTGTCTGTCTGTCTGTCTGTCTGTCTGTCTGTCTGTCTGTCTGTCTGTCTGTCTGTCTACCTACCTAATCCATCCATCCATCAATCTAATCCATCCATCTATCAAATATAAATAATGATGATCAGCAATCATCAGAACTCAGATTCAAAAGTATAACAGAAAGGATTATAAAGAAAGAAGTTAAAAAGAAATGCATTGTCCCTCATGAATGTACATTAATTCTACAACCCACATCTAAAAATTATTCATTGAAATATGGATAAACAATAAAGTCAGTCTAGAAACTATTTATTATATGATGAAGATTTATAAAGCAAAGATTTCAAAGAACTAAGTAATATATAGGGCATTTTTACTGGTCCCAAGCCAAAGACAGATACTGTACTTCTACAAATCCCATTGAATCAATAGTACTTTAGTAAGATCATTCAGGACATGTCCAGAGGACTTATAAGCAATTAATGTTCTTGACTTTGGGTAACTGTCTATTGAGATAAATTTAATCACAAAAAAACCTTTAGCAACCTTAGAGAACTTCTGGAAAATACGGAAGACAATTTTGGGGTTCGATGCATCAAAAAGTATGGTATAATCCAGTCTTTTCTATTATGTATTTACTAGGTAGTGGTAGTCCTTGACTTATGAACACAATTGAGCCCAAAATTTCTGTTGCTAAGCAAGATAGTTGTTAAATGAATTTTTCCCCATTTTATGACCTTTTCTTGCTTCATTTGTTAACTGAATCGCCATAGTTGTTAAGTTAGCAAATTGTTAAGTGAATCTGACTTCCCCATTGCCTTTGCTAGTCAGAAGGTCACAAAAGGTGATCACATGACTTTGGAACACTTCAACCAATTAACCAATGGAACAACCTGCCTCCAGAAGCGGTGAATGCTCCAACACTAGAAGTTTTTAAGAAGAGACTGGACAGCCATTTGCCTGAAATGGTGTAGGGTTCCTGCCTGAGCAGGGGGTTGGACTCGATGACCTCCAAGGTCCCTTCCAACTTTATTATTATTATTACTATTACTATTACTATTACTACTACTACTACTACTACTATTATTATTATTATTATTATTATTATTATTATTATTATTATTATTATTATTAATTATTATTATTATTATTATTATTATTATTATTAACCATCATAAATATGAGTCAGTTCCCAAGTGTCTGTATTTTGATCACCTGGCCATGGGAATACTGCAACGGTTGTAACTGTGAAAAATAGTCGTAAGTCATTTTTTCAGTGCCTTTGTAACTTTGGAACTGTTGTAAGTCAAGGATTACCTTATGTTGGATTTCCAGTATCAGAACAACCAGCACAATCAATGATCAGGGAGTGTGAAGCATATTTTCAAAACAATTGGATGACATCATGTTAGATCATGCTAGTATAAATGTTGGGTTTCACCCTATGGATGATGGAAATGTATTCCCCATGAACCAGACTGAAGGGTGTTTATAGGGAGTGGAAGATGATAATGTTGTTGAGGAATAAATCATTAAAAATTGCAAAGCCCAACAAAAATAATAAAAAGTTAGACTTCTGATAGTCATACCCTACCCAACACTTTTTCCCCCTTTTTGGAATGAGTGGGTGCATCTGTGGGCAACATTCTAGAATTCTCAGTGGGCTATGAAATGTTTAGCTTGACAGTCTAATAGTGAATAACAGGAAATAGCAGTAATCTGGTGATTTTTCTATTTGCTGTTCTACTCTTCTGTTGTAACAGCTGGAAAAAAAATGAGACAGATACTAGACCAAGCACTACTACCAATCTGAAGAAATAATTACTAAAAATGACATCTATGTTCTGCAATGTACCATTAGTAGTTTTGTTTCAAATAATTAAAACTGATGCTTTAATTGAAATAAAATTGTTTGACAAGGGTGTTGGACTAGAAGACCTCCAAGGTACCTTCCAACTCTGTTATTATGTAATGTTTCAAAATAATGACAAATCTAAACATGCAAATAGTGCATCCCAGTCTTTCAAGCCCAAATTAAATGGCATGAGGTAGCCTAACTTTCATCTCACAAGTAATCATTGCATATTAATTCTTTTAAATTCATTGATCCTTCTTCAGTAACCTCTTGTCAAAGACAACATAAAGGAAAAAAAATATTAAATCCAGAACTTATATATCTTGGTCATAAAAGAAACACAGTCAGACTCATATTTAAATTATTAAAACAGACAAACACTCCTTTAAAAACAACATCAATTTGACCTCATATATTTATTTTAAATTACTTTCATTTCTGCTCTGTGTAAAATATTTTCGATATATTTTGCTTTCCTCCTTTTAAAGTTGAAAATACAAAATCCCAGTTGCAAAAACTTACATCTTGCAGGTGTGACTCCTTTTTCTTAGCTGATAAATTTAAGTGCTTCTCCAGGGTGGAATAATACTTTTCACTTTCTTTGTCAAACTTCTTCTTTCCTTCCTGGAAAATAAAGACACATAAAATAAAGAATTGGAAAGTCATAGAAATGCTTATGATATAAAGTAAAAAAAAAAGTTCCTTTCTCCACCCAGAACTTAGAAATGGTGGCTTAAATATGAGAGATCAAAACCGAACAATTGCTGTGAAGACGCATAGTTTAAATGCAAAAAGTGTCATTCACACCACTTCAATCATTGTTTCTATAATGAACAGACTTTAGATTCAAAGAGAAACGGTTATATCAGAACCTATAATTGCTGATAAGTTAGTAACTCCTTAAACCAAATGTGTTTTTGCGCCCCCAGGATTGCAGTTTAGTTGGGCATGACAGTTGTATGATATTAAGAAAGGATGCAGCTGCTTTAAAGAGTTGCCAAAAGGTGCCACTTGTGGACCCTGGCATGCTCTGCAATACTCCTTCAGAGCTGGAGTCCTCAACAGCCAATCATATGATGAGTTGTTACAGGACAGCATCTGAGGGCAGGACAAGAAGCAATGGATGGAAGCTAATCAAGGAGAGAAGCAACTAGAACTAAGGAGAAATTTCCTGACAGTGAGAACAATTAATCAATGGAACAGCTTGTCTCCAGAAATTGCGGATGCTCCAACACTGGAAGTTTTTAAGAAGAGATTGGACAATCATTTTTCTGAAATGGTATAGAGCAGGGGTGTCAAACTCGCAACTTCATGTGTCGTGACGTATCGCAACTTTTTTTCCATTGCTGGCAATGGGGTGGGAGCAGTTTTGACATGACACATCTGGCCCGCGGGCCGGCAGTTTGACACCCCTGGTATAGAGTTTCCTACCTGAGCAGGGGGGTTGGACTAGAAGACCTCCAAGGTCCCTTCCAAATCTGGTATGGTATGGTATGGTATGGTATTTTCATAATTGGTTCCCATTATATGGCAGCAAAGAATGGCATCCCCCTTTGGATCTGGTGGACCCAAAGATCTGATATCCCCAAATTATGAGCATACTTATATGTATGCTGGATAAATTAAAACTGTGTAGAATGATGGCAATGAATGCTAAGCCAATTTACCATGCTGTCTGTAATTATCAATGGCAAAAAAGGGCAAGATATTATTCTAAATACCTCTCTTAGTCGGAAATTATTCAATACAGCATACTAGGTATGTGAGAATGCATAATGATAAAGCACCTCTTTCCATGTCCAAGTCATGCTGGATGCTTTACACTAATGTTTGGGTATATTAGGCCCACGGAAAATAATGTGCCTTATAAAGACAACATCTAGCATGATAACTATGAGTTCTAAATAAACTGATTTTTCTCATCTAGCTGAAGCAACTATACAAATGAGCATCAGTACGAACCTAGCCATCATACATGGATGTGTTCATGTATGAATAATGGATAATGTGATTTATTTGGTTCTGGTTTGTAAACCATGATTTCTGGTTCAATGCCAGGTTCCCTATCAATGACCTGGAGATCAATGATGTGGCTGAGTAAGTCATGGCCTATAGTCTCCAGTGTACTTCTCTATGGTTTGATGATTTGGGGAGATCATCAAATCACAATAGATGCTTTGCTTCCATACAAGTCTTATGTCAATTTCAAATGATTGTTTTTGACATTTGCATTAAAAATATATATAACTGAAATTCTGAGATGCCATGAATGCCTTCTGAAGGTCAAATGGGTCATAATCATGTAGGTGTCATACTGATCTGTGAGCTTTATGATAGTCTTCACAATCAGCAAAAACATCCTGAAGTTCTGAAAATATTTAAGAAAAGAAAAACACTCTGACTTTCAGGGTTTTTTTTAAAGATAGGGAGCTTCATTCTTCAATTAATGTATTACTAGTCACCTGCCTATATGTTTTCTTTATACCACTAAGGCAAAATTCTCATTTTGCATTATTTTATATGGATAATTAGATAAGCAGAGTTTAAATTAAAAAAAAAGAACATAAAATAGGTTAGTTTTTCAAACAGAAAAAATCATTAGGTCAGCTTTGGAAAATGTTGATGACTCAGTTGGCACCACAGCCCACATCTAGACAGAGAGGTCTGGCTCAGAGCAATGTTGATCATTAAATTCTTCCTGAATACCCATATCAACTTTCTGGGGAGAAAGGGGTGACAAACAGCTAGTGAAAAATCCCTACTGATCCATTTTTAACTGTATGAGATTATCCCTTGCAGCATACATCCAGGGACAACTGGATATAAATTCCAGTATGATTTGGCAGGAAGCATAAGATGAGCACTTTTATGCTTTCACATGTCACTCACAAACTCTGCAAGATAGAANCCATCCATCAAATATAAATAATGATGATCAGCAATCATCAGAACTTAGATTCAAAAGTGTAACAGAAAGGATTATAAAGAAAGAAGTTAAAAAGAAATGCATTATCCCTCATGAATGTACATTAATTCTACAACCCACATCTAAAAATTATTCATTGAAATATGGATAAACAATAAAGTCAGTCTAGAAACTATTTATTATATGATGAAGATTTATAAAGCAAAGATTTCAAAGAACTAAGTAATATATAGGGCATTTTTACTGGTCCCAAGCCAAAGACAGATACTTCTACAAATCCCATTGAATCAATAGTACTTTAGTAAGATCATTCAGTACATGTCCAGAGGACTTATAAGCAATTAATGTTCTTGACTTTGGGTAACTGTCTACTGAGATAAATTTAATTACAAAAAAACCTTTAGCAACCTTAGAGAACTTCTGGAAAATACGGAAGACAATTTTGGGGTTCGATGCACCAAAAAGTATGGTATAATCCAGTCTTTTCTATTATGTATTTACTAGGTAGTGGTAGTCCTTGACTTATGAACACAATTGAGCCCAAAATTTCTGTTGCTAAGCAAGATAGTTGTTAAATGAGTTTTCCCTCATTTTATGACCTTTTTTGCTTCATTTGTTAACTGAATTGCCATAGTTGTTAAGTTAGCAAATTGTTAAGTGAATCTGACTTCCCCATTGCCTGTGCTGGTCAGAAGGTCACAAAAGGTGATCACATGACTTTGGAACACTTCAACCAATTAACCAATGGAACAACCTGCCTCCAGAAGCGGTGAATGCTCCAACACTGGAAATTTTTAAGAAGAGACAGGACAGCCATTTGTCTGAAATGGTATAGGGTTTCCTGCCTGAGCAGGGGATTAGACTAGATGACCTCCAAGGTCCCTTCCAACTTTATTATTATTGTTGTTGTTGTTGTTATTTCATATATGGAAACTGTATGGTTTCTTCTGATTCTGGAGCTACTGTATCCTGATATCTTCCATTATATTTGAGGGCAGCAAACAAGCACGAGAAGTCCAGATTAGATTTTCTTATATCTTCTGCTTTTCTTACAAAAGCGACTTCTCAAGCCTGAGACAGCAACTTCATTCTGCCAAGTGTTAGAACCAAACCCATGTTCCCAAAGGAGAGTTATTGTCAGTCCCTGCTGGAACCCTGCCATTCCGAGGGGAGGGGGACTGTTACTTGGGGAAGGAGGAATCTAATGCTTTCACTTTGATGTATCTGACTTCCCCATTGCCTTTGCTGGTCAGAAGGTCACAAAAGGTGATCACATGACTTTGGAACACTTCAACCAATTAACCAATGGAATAAGCTGCCTCCAGAAGCGGTGAATGCTCCAACACTAGAAGTTTTTAAAAAGAGACTGGACAGCCATTTGTCTGAAATGGTGTAGGGTTCCTGCCTGAGTAGGGGGTTGGACTCGATGACCTCCAAGGTCCCTTCCAACTTTTTTATTATTATTATTATTATTATTATTATTATTATTATTATTATTATTATTATTATTATTATTATTATTATTATTATTATTATTATTATTAACCATCATAAATATGAGTCAGTTCCCAAGTGTCTGTATTTTGATCACCTGGCCATGGGAATGCTGCAACGGTTGTAACTATGAAAAATAGTCGTAAGTCATTTTTTCAGTGCCTTTGTAACTTTGGAACTGTTGTAAGTCAAGGATTACCTTATGTTGGATTTCCAGTATCAGAACAACCAGCACAATCAATGATCAGGGAGTGTGAAGCATATTTTCAAAACAATTGGATGACATCATGTTAGATCATGCTAGTATAAATGTTGGGTTTCACCCTATGGATGATGGGTGTTTATAGGGAGTGGAAGATGATAATGTTGTTGAGGAATAAATCATTAAAAATTGCAAAGCCCAACAAAAATAATAAAAAAGTTAGACTTCTGATAGTCATACCCTACCCAACACTTTTTCCCCCTTTTTGGAATGAGTGGGTGCGTCTGTGGGCAACATTCTAGAATTCTCAGTGGGCTATGAAATGTTTAGCTTGACAGTCTAATAGTGAATAACAGGAAATAGCAGTAATCTGGTAATTTTTCTATTTGCTGTTCTACTCTTCTGTTGTAACAGCTGGGAAAAAAATGAGACAGATACTAGACCAAGTACTACTACCAATCTGAAGAAATAATTACTAAAAATGACATCTATGTTCTGCAATGTACCATTAGTAGTTTTGTTTCAAATAATTAAAACTGATGTTTTAATTGAAATAAAATTGTTTGACAAGGGTGTTGGACTAGAAGACCTCCAAGGTACCTTCCAACTCTGTTATTATGTTATGTTTCAAAATAATGACAAATCTAAACATGCAAATAGTGCATCCCAGTCTTTCAACCCCAAATTAAACGGCATGAGGTAGCCTAACTTTCATCTCACAAGTAATCATTGTATATTAATTCTTTTAAATTCATTGATCCTTCTTCAGTAACCTCTTGTCAAAGACAACATAAAGGGGAAAAAAATTAAATCCAGAACTTATATACCTTGGTCATAAAAGAAATACAGTCAGACTCATATTTAAATTATTAAAACAGACAAACACTCCTTTAAAAACAACATCAATTTGACCTCATATATTTATTTTAAATTACTTTCATTTCTGCTCTGTGTAAAATATTTTCGATATATTTTGCTTTCCTCCTTTTAAAGTTGAAAATACAAAATCCCAGTTACAAAAACTTACATCTTGTAGGTGTGACTCCTTTTTCTTAGCTGATAAATTTAAGTGCTTCTCCAGGGTGGAATAATACTTTTCACTTTCTTTGTCAAACTTCTTCTTTCCTTCCTGGAAAATAAAGACACATAAAATAAAGAATTGGAAAGTCATAGAAATGCTTATGATAAAAAAAGTTCCTTTCTCCACCCAGAACTTAGAAATGGCGGCTTAAATATGAGAGATCAAAACCGAACAATTGCTGTGAAGACGCATAGTTTAAATGCAAAATGTGTCATTCACATCACTTCAATCATTGTTTCTATAATGAACAGACTTTAGATTCAAACAGAAAAGGTTATATCAGAACCTATAATTGCTGATAAGTTAGTAACTCCTTAAACCAAATGTGTTTTTGCCCGCCAGGATTGCAGTTTAGTTGGGCATGACAGTTGTATGATATTAAGAAAGGATGCAGCTGCTTTAAAGAGTTGCCAAAAGGTGCCACTTGTGGACCCTGTCATGCTCTGAAATATCTTCTCCTTCAGAGCTGGAGTCCTCAAACAGCCAATCATATGATGAGTTGTTACAGGACAGCATCTGAGGGCAGGACAAGAAGCAATGGATGGAAGCTAATCAAGGAGAGAAGCAACTAGAACTAAGGAGAAATTTCCTGACAGTGAGAACAATTAATCAATGGAACAGCTTGTCTGCAGAAATTGTGAATGCTCCAACACTGGAAGTTTTTAAGAAGAGATTGGACAACCATTTTTCTGAAATGGTATAGAGCAGGGGTGTCAAACTCGCAACATCATGTGTCGTGACGTATCACAACTTTTTTCCCATTGCTGGAAATGGGGTGGGAGCAGTTTTGACATGACACATCTGGCCCGCGGGCCGGCAGTTTGACACCCCTGGTATAGAGTTTCCTACCTGAGCAGGGGGGTTGGACTAGAAGACCTCCAAGGTCCCTTCCAAATCTGGTATGGTATGGTATGGTATTTTCATAATTGGTTCCCATTATATGGCAGCAAAGAATGGCATCCCCCTTTGGATCTGGTGGACCCAAAGATCTGATAGCCCCAAATTATGAGCATACTTATATGTATGCTGGATAAATTAAAACTGTGTAGAATGATGGCAATGAATGCTAAGCCAATTTACCATGCTGTCTGTAATTATCAATGGCAAAAAAGGGCAAGATATTATTCTAAATACCTCTCTTAGTCGGAAATTATTCAATACAGCATACTAGGTATGTGAGAATGCATAATGATAAAGCACCTCTTTCCATGTCCAAGTCATGCTGGATGCTTTACACTAATGTTTGGGTATATTAGGCCCACGGAAAATAATGTGCCTTATAAAGACAACATCTAGCATGATAACTATGAGTTCTAAATAAACTGATTTTTCTCATCTAGCTGAAGCAACTATACAAATGAGCATTAGTACGAACCTAGCCATCATACATGGATGTGTTCATGTATGAATAACGGATAATGTGATTTATTTGGTTCTGGTTTGTAAACCATGATTTCTGGTTCAATGCCAGGTTCCCTATCAATGACCTGGAGATCAATAATGTGGCTGAGTAAGTCATGGCCTATAGTCTCCAATGTACTTCTCTATGGTTTGATGATTTGGGGAGATCATCAAATCACAATAGATGCTTTGCTTCCATACAAGTCTTATGTCAATTTCAAATGATTGTTTTTGACATTTGCATTAAAATATATATATAACTGAAATTCTGAGATGCCATGAATGCCTTCTGAAGGTCAAATGGGTCATAATCATGTAGGTGTCATACTGATCTGTGAGCTTTATGGTAGTCTTCACAATCAGCAAAAACATCCTGAAGTTCTGAAAATATTTAAGAAAAGAAAAACACTCTGACTTTCAGGGGTTTTTTTTAAAGATAGGGAGCTTCATTCTTCAATTAATGTATTACTAGTCACCTGCCTATATGTTTTCTTTATACCACTAAGGCAAAATTCTCATTTTGCATTATTTTATATGGATAATTAGATAAGCAGAGTTTAAATTTAAAAAAAAAAGAACATAAAGTAGGTTAGTTTTTCAAACAGAAAAAATCATTAGGTCAGCTTTGGAAAATGTTGATGACTCAGTTGGCACCACAGCCCACATCTAGACAGAGAGGTCTGGCTCAGAGCAATGTTGATCATTAAATTCTTCCTGAATATCTATATCAACTTTCTGGGGAGAAAGGGGTGACAAACAGCTAGTGAAAAATCCCTACTGATCCATTTTTAACTGTATGAGATTATCCCTTGCAGCATACATCCAGGGACAACTGGATATAAATTCCAGTATGATTTGGCAGGAAGCATAAGATGAGCACTTTTATGCTTTCACATGTCACTCACAAACTCTGCAAGATAGAA